CAGAGAACCAGCTGGGACAAGGCCAGTCCTAGGACAGGAAGGGCTGAAGCTGGCTGGCAAGGACTCAAGGTCTGACAGTGCACCAGGGATTTCTGACCCTGTATGGAGGGGCTGCCCCCAACCAGCCCACGCACTTCTCCACAGGCCCACCTTGGTATCGATGGCTGGTGTGAAGACCGAGGGAACGCCAAACAGGCGGTTGTAGAAGGCCACTTCCTTCAGGGTGTGGTCCCGCATAGGCCTCACCAACACCACATCCCCATACCGCTCATCTGAGAAGCCCTGGGGAGCAGACACTATGGCTCAAATCCTAGCATACCTCCTATTACTGCCACTGCCAACTATGGTTGGGTCTCAGGCCTCTCTACTTGGAAGACCCCAGGATAACACAGAAGTGCTTTCAAAGGAAGGAAGACAAAGAGGCAAGGGACACCATGACCTCTAGGCCCCGCATACCGTGTCCCAGGCAAGGAAGGCTCCTCTCCCCAAGGCCAGGTTGGTCATAAGCTTGATGGCCAAGCGGGTACAGCTCTCCCCAGTCATCACCTTGCAGTAGCCATGGGTTCGGGCTACATGCACAATCAGATGGGTCCTGTGATGGGGTGAATTACAGAAGCTGGAGCTGGAGTCCTACAAGCCAGGCAGGGCTAGGGGTGCTGCACTCACCTCAGGGTCTGCAGAAGCTCCTCTTTGGCTGTCAGCGTCTTTATGGAACTGAACAACCTAGACAAGGCCTCAGTCTGAGCAGCTGTGGGGAACCCACCCATGCCTAGGGGCTCCTGGCTGTGGGTTGGGTGTGACTGATCCTCCCCCTGAGCTGGGCTGGCACAGCCCTCAGACCCTAGCACATGCTGCTGCTGCAGGAAGCTGTCCACAGCCGTTTTGTAGGCCTCCTCTGTCCCTGCGGGCTCTTGGGAAGCACAGCACAGCACGGATGATGGCAAGCTGAACACCTTCCAGGGTGTAAGAATGGATATTGAGGTCAAGGCCATACCAGCCCTCTGAAACAGCAGGAAAGCCAAGGCCCAGGGCAAGAGGCCCACAGGATGGCTCCAATAAGCAAGAATGTGGCCCTGATGGGTACCCCTCCAAGGTTACCACAGGTCACCACCTGGGCAGACCCACCTACCTCCTCTAAGGCAACTACATGCCACGGGAAGCCAGTGTTCTGCAGGATCAGCTTCACCTCAGCCAAGGTCTTCACCCTGTCCTGTAGGCTCTGGCCACAGGCTGCTCCCTCTGTAAAACCCAGGCAGTAAGTATGTCAGATTCACAGAGGAAGTGGAACAGACGGAGGTGGTCAGTGCCACACAGAAGTCACAGCAAGTCTACTCTTCAGACATTTTGTTTCTTTGTATTTTGAGATAGGGTTTCTCTGTAGCTTTTAGAATCTGTCCTAGAACTCACTCTGTAGACCAGGCTGGCCTAGAACTCACAAAGATCTGTCTGTCTCTGCCTCCAGAGTGCTGGGATTAAAGGCGTGCGCCACCACCACCCAGCCAGAGAAAATTTCTGTAAGGGTAGGACTGGCTTCCCTCACAGCTAAAGAAACTGCCTAGTCTTTCATCCCCAAAGACCAGTTCTAAACTCATCTTCAATCCCTGGGCCCTTCAATAGAGCTGGGAAGGCACCGCTGTCCCCAGTGTATCCCCTAAAGGGGCTGTTGAGGTTCACCAGTCATTGCTGGGGACTGAATAGAGGAGCGGCCCAACATACCATCAACATAGATGACTCCTGGCACAAAGCGTAGTCGTTTTGCAGAATCCTGACTCAGACCCTGGAAGAGAAGTGTCGGGACTCAGGCCTAGCCAAAAGCATTTCTCTGGACTTCAGACTCTCCAGACAGTGGACAAAACTGCCTGGGTCTCCCCTCAGAGGGGTGTGTATGGGCCAAGTCTTCCTCCCACAGGAGAAAGTATGGGTCTGTCTTCCTTCCTATAGATGGATCAATGGGTCTGGGTCTCCCTTCCCCACAGGAGAAGATAGTGGTTAAGTCTTCCCTCCCATATGAGGGCCTGCCCTGTCAGTATCAGAAACTTTAGAACCCACCCTCTCTAGTCTGTTTCTGACACCTATGCAGCCTGAGACAACCAGCTGGACCATGGGGCAATGGGGGCACTGTACCACCTGCTGAGCACCTCAGAACCCTCACAAAGTGTTTGGTAGGTTAAGAACCATGGGAGGCAGGGGCAGAGAAGATTCCAAGGGGAGCGGGGTCAGGCACTGACAAATGGCTTCATGGTGAGCTCCTCCACATGTACAGCTTTAGGGGAGCAGCAGATACGACAAAACCCCAGAACTACAGGGTGTTCCCAATGGAGCAGCACTGTCACTTAGGTCAGACTGCTGACTCCGATCAACCACAGCCTTGACTCTTCTGCCGCTCTATGGTGAAAGGAGCATGTGGGTCCCTCTTCTGTGCCAAGGCCCCTCAAGGAAACCCTGCATGCCCTCAGCAGTGCCAGGCATTCTCAGCTCGAGTCCCTATTCTCTCTGCCTCACCCTCTTCCACCTAGGCCACTTCTCCCTGTCCTCGGCAAATACTTCTCTCTACCCACAAGTCACAATTGGCCAAACTTGGATACTACCAAGTAAAGCTAAATGGGGATGTACCTGGGGACCCTGATAAGTACATGTGAGATCCTACGGGTGTCCCAGCTGGGGGATGGGGGGGGGGTGTCTGTCTAGTGTCAACTAAAAACTTTGCAGTGCAAGCTGAGGAAAGAGGCCCCAGTTAATTCAATCCAGAAGTTCAGGCCCAAGGGATGGTGTGGACGTACCTCAAGGACTTGCCAGACCATGGAGCTGGACGAAGGCCCCCCAGACCACGCCAACAGCACCTGGGGTGGGAAGAGAGGATCAGCAAGGACCTGCGTCTCCAACGTAAGCAAGTCTGCTTCATTCTTAGACGGCCCAAGACACCAAGTCTACCCTCAAGGTCCAGAGACAGCAGGCCAGCTGCAGAAAGGCACATATAGGAAGGAAGCAGGGGCTGAGAGCCAAGCACTCCCCACGAGTACCTTCTCGCCAGGAAAGATGAGTCGGTTCTTCCCAAGCATGGCTCTGAACTTGTGAACATAGAATGCCTTGAAACAATCCCTGTAACAGACACAGAGAGAGGCTGGTCCACACCTGCCCACCAGCCTAAGACCCTGTGGATGATACTGTCCCTCTTGGCAGTATCCACTCTTAGAGAGTGGATACTCTGCCAGAGCCTGTTGGTGAAGTTGGATGGAGGAGCTGTCCTGGCTATGACTCTCAGTGCACCACCCAGATCCCATCAGATGTGAGCTGCGGAAGCTCCAGGGTGCTTGGAAGGACTCAGCTAAAAGAAAGCTGAACTGGGACTAGAACAGGGGGAAGTTACCAAAGCCTCTCAATAACAAGTGTTGATCTATTGATGATGCCCCAACAAACAGAAGGGTTGCTTCTCTGAGACTCAGACCCCTGCTGGACCAAGCAGCCCTCATTTCCAAATATTCCTAAGTTGTTAGTTACATCAGTACCTACCTTGCCCAGGTTACAATTACTGGTGACACTACCTTTTCTTTCAAATTTGGGCTCCCAAAACATGGTGGGTGACAAGATAAGTTCTGGAAATCAGTTTCTGCCCCTCCACCAGAATCTTTTGTAGGAAATCTTTAAAAAACAGACTCAGAGATCCAAAGGAACTTAGACACATGAAATCCTCACTCACTCAACAAACATACACTACACAAAGCTACTGCTAACACCACTAGGTATTGGAGGGAAAACACTGGAGATTCATGTTCCTGCCCTCGGGGAGCTAGAGCTCTGGGGTAAAACAGTCAAACATGAAAAGCTGTAATTCAAAAGAGGCATGAGGGACCCATTAAAGTTACAGATAAAACGTGAATCCTCCTGCTGTGGCCCCCATGGGAATAATCTCTTGTTCTCCTTCCAAGTCTGTGTGGCCATCAAATAAAACGGGTATCCCATAGCTGGGCAGTGGTGGTGCACGCCTTTAATCCCAGCACTCAGGAGGCAGGTGCAGGGGTATCTCTGTGAGTTTGAGGCCAGCCTGGTCTACAAGAGTGAGTTCCAGGACAGCTAGAACTGTTACAAACCTGTCTCAAAAAAAAAAAAAAAAGCAAAAACAAAAATAGGTATCCCGTGAAAGAAAGAACAATTTCCACCCAGAGTACCTGCCCAAGTTCCCAAGATGTTCTGATCTGACCTGGACGGATTCCAAGTGCCCGAAAAGCCTGTCTTTCAACGCACCTTTTCCCTCGAGTCTGGGCACTCCACAAGCTTCCCCAGAGATCTTCCTACCACTAGGCCCATCAAGGAAATTTGTGGGATTCTGTTTGACAGGATTTCTCTGCAGCCCAAGCTGGCCTCGAATCTGAGGTAATTCTCCTATCACGGAATCCCTAGTGTTGGAAATACAGGCGTGAGCCTAGTTTAGATGACAAGAGTCGTTACCAAGGGTTCCCACCACTACTTGTGGTCCGGGCCAACGTGACAAGCACGTACAACGTAACCGTCCCCTTACAAGGAAAAAGCAAGCCTGGAAAGAGGGGCTGCCGAGATCTCACCTGCAGAAGGCGTCTCCCGCTCGTATCACCACCACCGGCAGGCCTTCCGCGCACTTCACACATTTCTGCTCCCGGCTGTGGAGAAAATAAGAACATCCATGGCAAATCTTCCCACCGCAGCGAAACTGGAGGAGCCAAAGTCTCGCTTCCCAGCCTGGCTCACACACCAGGGCCTATGCTTAGTTCTAGCTGCCGACTCCATTCCGGGTCGCTGCGACCCTAAGGGCGCGGGGACAGTCCCTGGCCTGGTACAGACGGCTCTTACCCGGGCCGTGGCACGGGCGGAGGCTCCCGCTGAGCAGACACCGGGTAGTCCTCACCGGCCTGACACATGGAGATGATGGGCTGGTCCGCAGTAGTGGAAAGCCGGCGCGCCAAGATGACGTTGGCGCACAGCTGGCACAGTCGTGACGCAAACACGGGGGCGGAGCGAGCGGTGACGCCAGTGCGGCGCCGTCGCGGCAGTGACGCCGGCCTCCCGGCCTGGATCGGGGGCAGCGGCGGCGGCGGCGATAGCGGCGGCGGCCTGGCCGGGGGATGGCGATGTTCCGCAGCCTGGTGGCCTCGGCACAGCAGCGGCAGCCGCCAGCTGGGCCCGCGAGCGGCGACAGCGGCCTGGAGGCGCAGTTCAGCTGTCCCATCTGCCTGGAGGTGTACTATCGGCCAGTGGCCATCGGCAGCTGCGGCCACACGTGAGCGCGCGCGCCGGGAGCCCGCGGGAGGGGAGTCCGGGCCGGGGTCGTGGCGGGCGGCCGCCCGGGGACTTGGGGAAGTCAGCCCTGCCCCTACCCGCCGGCCGCGCGCGCGCCCCCCCGCACCCGGGCCGAGGGAAGCCCTGCACCCGCCCCGGCCCCGCGCGTTGCCAACGGCCGCCGGCTGCTTCAAGGGTGGCGGACGAGGCCGCTGCGCCAAGCGCGGGCGTTCGGGCTTGTAGAGATCGGGCAGGCCGTTGTAAATAAATGAGTTGTGGCTTTTGCAATCCACTCTTATCCACCCCATGTCTACTCGTTTTGACTGTCACGGAAATGAGTTCCCTGAAGTTAGGAGAGGGGATCGTTTGGAGCCTGATGCTGTTTTGTTTTGAAGGACTTGGCCTATTCTGAACCTGAAGCTTCCAGGCAGCAGGGCCTACCGGGCACCAGACACCGGAGACCTTGTTAGATGCCCAGCTGAGCCAGGACCTCCCCCAATCTGGCTCCTCCTCCTCGGTGTTTCAGGAACTAAAACTTGAGGTTGTGACTGCTCGCAGGAGGGAGCGGTGCTTAAGGCCTTCCCAGCGCCAGCCTGGTTGGGAGGGAGCCAAGACAGAGCGTCTGCTCCATGACCTCCCCACAGTACAGCTCTTGAGATGAGCAGTTAAAATAAGGGCAGGAGGACTTCTCAGTAGAGGGCCACGCCGCTCAGGAGGTGGGGCTCTCCACGGCTTGGGGTGCACGCAGATTGGTGGGAGGCTTTTTGCAAACAGAGGCAGCTGATTTTGGAGACTCTGCTGCAGAGGGAACTGGAACTGCTGGGTGGGCGTGTGCCTGCTAGTCATCCAGGGAGGTGGCAAGGACCTTGTCTCCATCCAAAACTGCCTTCCCTTTCCCTGTCCCAGTGTCAGGCTGAACAGGGGTCCCGCTCGCCCCGGAGAGAGCTCTGCGGAATTGTCTGTAAGGGCACAGCTCCTACTCAGTCTAATGTTACTGGGACATTCTAGCAGGAAGCCTTTGATCAGGAACCTCTTTTTTTTTTTTTCTCTTTTTTTGTATGCTTGCATGAGTAGGCGTTTTACGGTGTGTTCTGTGAGGTTTGTCATTTTGAAAGCCTTGCCTCCAGCCCCTTCACTCAGTGCACACAGGCCACCATGTTTTCTGTTTCCCTTATTCACCAAGCAGCACTTGACACCCCTTCCCCCCAAGTCTTATTATGCTGTCCCCCTGGCAAGATAGAACATAGGATTGGAAAGCATCTGTCCTGTAAAACTGTTTCCATTGCTGCTTCTGCAAGCTTCTGTCCGGACATCCTTCACCAGGGTGGATCTCCTTTCTTTGTTGGTTCCATTTTCCATTTGCCCAGCTGTTCTCACCTACTTTAATCTGCAGTCTCTTGGGTGTAGCCTGTGTTCAGATGAGTGTGAGGGTTAAGCTTTTGTCTCACCTTTTAAAAATGCACGTCTTTGAGCCACCTGACTGGAAGCAGTTTCCTTCCTGAGGCTTTCTTGTGCGTAGAGCCCTGCACACCTGGGTTCTGCTGTGAACCCTGGCATGTTGGCTGTCATGGGGCCCCATTGGATGCACCATCTTACCAGCCTCATAGGGATTGGCTGGCCGTCCAGCTAATCAAATCTTAGGGCCAGTGATGGAGACCAGTTCCAGGGCTGGGTGTGTGGTTGCTGATGCCACCTCACCTGCGCTGTAAGGTAGGTGACAAGGAGAGAGTCTTGATGGCAGGAAAATGCCTCTGAGAATCCTTGCACAGTTGCTGCTGCCCCGTCTCAGGCTGCTTCTCTTAACTTGGCTAAACATGTCTTGCCAAGTGGTGGCTCCCTTGAAAATGAGAGTGCAGGAACTTTTGACACAGCCTGAGCTGTAGGCCTGTCCTCACTGCAAAGGGACCTTTCCTTGAGATCTCATAATGCCAGAGGAACATTGGCTAAGTCATCTGCAGATTCAAGAAGATTCTCTCATCCCTTCTGACCAACGTGACTTCTCAGCCCCACCCCAGAGCCTGCTGAGAAGTCACAGGAAACAGAATACACACTGGCTTCTTGCAGCCTCCTCACACTCTTCAACGCTGCCATCTTCCTGGAGGCTGAGTCAGTGCCCCTCTTCCTCCCAGGTGCCATCAGCACTTGTGATTTTGTGCAGGAAAAAACCATGAGCTTCCATCTTCAACCTAGACTCTCCTTCATTCTGTGTACCTATTCAGTAAACTCAGCCTGGTTCAGTTTTACGTTCTTCCACCGTTATCCCACACCCTTAAAATCCAGTCCTAACTTGCTTGAATGAATTAGCAAACTTATGAAGCTCTTTATTAGTAGTGTAGTGCACTTCCTCCTGGGCTGCACTTCCTGTTTCCCCTGTAGGAGCGTGTTAATGTGCATTTATATGTTTTTAAAAACCAGTCTGGTTACAGGTCTAGAGGCAGCTATTGATGGGCCCTGGGGGACATCAGTACCACCTGACCTGGCATCTCGTTCACGGAAAGTCACTGCTGGTTCAGTAGACAATGAGGGATTTCCTCAGCCAAAGGTGGAAAAGGCAGTGTCTCAGGGGTTTGGGGATGAAAGTGTATCTTCTGGGTGGAGATACTGCTTCCTCAGGTGTGATAACCCCTTGAGAATCTGAGGGTCCAAAGTTCTCAGCTGTAGTAGGGTCCTCCCACACATCTCCATTCCAGTTTACAGGATCCCGTCTTTACCAGCTATTGCTCACACCCTCAGTGGTTGGGACTTGAATTTTTGTTGTAATTCAGCCAACCTTATAAATGAGCCTTGATTTTCTGCATCTTGAGCTCTGTGGCTGCTGGACAGAAGATTCTCTTCCAGAGCACACTTGGAAACCTTTAGATTGTTGGTGCACATCAGGAACTAGTCAGTTCTATCACTTGTTGTCCTTTCTCATATGAGATGCTGGAAGTAGGTTAATTTTATTACAGAACTCATCCAGAGATGCTAGAAGTGACCAACCACAGCATCATTTCCCTTATTTTTCCACAAATTGTCAAAAGTTTTATATACAGAGTCACCAAATCCATTGCCTCTAACAATTAGTGAATCAAAATAATCAAATCCATTATCCCTTGAGTTTATAAAATAGTTAACACCATGAACTTCCAGTACTCTCCAAGCTTTTCAGGAACTGTGGGTGTTGGCAAATTGGAAAGCCAATTCCAAATACTTTAAAATTTTTCCTTATGCTTCTCTTGCTTTAAAACCAATTCTGACACAAAATCTGTATTAGGCAGTATTCTTTAGAGAAGCAGAAGTTATAGAATGAATATATATACATATGTATATATAAATATAAAGGAGATTGATTAGAATGACTTACAGGCTGTAGTCCAGCTAATCCCAACAATGGCTGTCCACCAATGGAAGGTCTAAGAATCCAGTAGTTGTTCAGTCCACAAGTCTGGATGTCTCAGTTCATCTTCGGTATATGCCAGAATTCCAGAAGAGTTGCCTCTAATGCCAGTGAAGGAATGGATTTGCCAGTGAGAGCAAGAGCAAGCAGGCAAAGAGAGCAAGCTTCCTTCTCCCATGTTCCTTATATAGGTTGTCAGCAGAAGGTACAGTCCAGATTAAATGGGGGTCTTTTGCCACTTTAATCCCAGCACTCAAGAGGCAGAGGCAGGTAGAGTTCGAGGCCACCCTGGTCTACAGAGCAAGTTCCACGACAGCAAGGGCTACACAGAGAAACCCTGTCTTGAGAAAAATAAATAAAAGTGGGTCTTCTACTTCAAATGATTTAATTAGGAAACTATCCTTCATAGGTGTACCCAGCGTAAGTCCAGATATAGTCAAGTTGACATCCAAGAACAGTTGTCAGCTTGCACAGCTATGCCCCGTTCCTTTCTGTTCCCTATGGATGTGCTTCTGATGAATGGAAGATCCTGCAAACACCAGCTGGTGTGTGGGCAGGCAAGGACAGAGCTCTTGCTGCTGGTATCTGGGAGCGTGTCAGAAAGAGACTGGGCCCCTACCAATTCTCAGTGCTCCAAGTCTGTGCCCAGTACCTAAGCCAGGGTAGTCCCTCCTGTCACCAGGCTTTGACTCTGAATCCAAGGACCCCCTCCTGGGGAGGGCCTTAGTCCTGCCTTAATGAAGTGATGGGACAGACTTAATTGACTTCCCAGGGGAGGCCTTAACCTTTCTTAGGAATGGATGGCAGGTAGGCTGAGGGGAAGGAGTTGGAGAGGAGGGAGGGGAAATTGGGATTGATATGTACAAATACATGAAAAAATTTAAAAAGTAGGCTGTTGAAGGGACCTTTGAAGCCATGCCCACTCACACTGCCCCTTGTTGGGTGGTCCCAACTGGGATCTGGGTGCTTGCTAGTGCCTACAACACCTTAGGTCTCTTAGAAGAAAAAAAAAAGGACCCCCTGCTGCCTCAGGAGACTTGCCTGGCCAGTGTTGACTATGTAGTGGAAGGGCTCCAGGCCTAGCATTTTGTTCTGCGTAGTTGTTAGTCACTTTACTCCCTGGCTCCCTGGCCTGATACCCTGACCCCTGAGGTTTTGTCAGTTAATCGCATGATCTCGAGACTCTCAGAAAAGAAATGATCATCCTATCCCAGGGGTGCTCTTATTGGGATACAGGCTGCAGGGGATACACCACATACAGGAGGGTTGTACTCTTAACTATGACCTGTGGGGGTGGGAGCGTGGGCATAAGATTGTCTCCAGAACTATCAATAGCAACTGGGGAGCCATTCTGTACATGCTGGCATGGAAGAAGTAGCCTCAGGTCCATGTCACCTGCAGGTTCTGCGGGGAGTGCCTCCAGCCATGTCTGCAGGTGCCATCCCCTCTGTGCCCGCTCTGCCGTCTGCCCTTCGACCCCAAGAAAGTGGACAAGGCCTCTCATGTAGAGAAGCAGCTCTCATCTTACAAGGCACCCTGCCGGGGTTGCAACAAGAAGGTACCCGCCCTGCTCGGGTTTCCTAAGGCTGGGAGGCTCTGGGTGGGGCAGCTTCCGCCCATGGGTTCTACTGTCCCATAGAGGAACTGGGTGCATGGGCTCACACCCCTTCCTGTCGATTAACCACATTTGCTTCAGCGTGAAGCTACCTGGCAGACCCTCTAGGAGCTCCGGGGGAGCTGTGCTGTCACAGCGGCCTGACCTAGGCTCAGCTGACTCCGCACTGTGGCTGATGGGGACCAAGCACTCAGGCTGTGACAGACAAATCTGGGGAAGCCAAGAAGGTTCTGGGGACTCTGAGTTGGCAGGTGCAGCCAGACAGACAGGGCCTTTCAAGGCTGAGCTCTGTGCACCTAATGCTAGAGTCTGCCCTGAGGAGAATGGCGTGAGCGCTGTCCCTGCATCATCACACAGGCCCTGCCACTGGTGTTGGGGCTTACAGGCCTCTTTCCAGCCTGTCCCCAGAGCCTGCCTTGCTCCCCCTTTCCCCTTTGTTCCCAGGAAACGAAGCAGCCATGAGTGCACTTGTCACTTGTCATTTATGTTGCAGGCCTCCCTGTGTCTCTAGTTACTGTTTTTGTGAACTTGTCACAGTGTTCTAAAGATGAACTAGAACTGTCCTGGGCCTGGAGTAGTGAGGCTGAGTCATTTGCCGTGGTCCTCCTTGGTGCTTGGGTGCCCTGGCTGGACTTTCCTAGGGAGACTAGAGGCCAGAAGCCTGTCAGTGTTACATGTGAAGTAGCTCCACCCCTCACTTGAACACCTCAATTTTCAAACTGTCTTCTGGAGAAAATTTCCCTGCTGCATGGGTACCCAGCTGTGACAAGTGACTCAAGGAGGACTTTCTTGGACCCCTGCAGGTCTTAGGTACAAACTCTGGATGCTGGGGACATGTGCTGTAGTCACCTGCCAATAGTGGTATATTAGCATGTCCTCTTTCCCCCTTAGTCTTTGAGCTCTACCCCCAGCCTTGGTGTGCACCCTCAGGGAAAGGCTGGCCATGGGTTCTTTTCTCTCTTCCGGGTAACTCATTGAGCCCTTGTTGGGATGGACTCTCCTGCTGAGCATCCCCTGCCAGTTCCCTGTCCCTTGCCTTCAGGCCAGGCTGCTGCCCTTGACAAGGCTGTGATGACTTGATGGGGAGCTGAGTGGTAATTATTACACTGTGTTGTGATCTTCACCACTAAAGGTATTTGTCAGAGCAAGGGTCTTTCATTGGTTTCCCCCTGGGGGTGTGAGCCTTTTTTCCTAGTAGGTATGGATCCTGTCCACTCATTGGAACAGCTTCCCTGAGTCCCTAAGAGAGGGGCCTGTTAGTCGTGTCCTGGGGGATTAGTGACCTGCACCTGCTCTATACAGCTAGCTACCCTAAGAGCCATGAACACGTCTGTCTGTGTGGCTCTGTAGAGACCTGTGTGTCTTTATGTGTTACCTCTTGTTCGCCAGGGTCCCTCCCGGCAGCCCCAGAGCCTGTGAGTGTTTTAGGAGCAGAAGGGATGGATCTGATCTTTTGCTGGTCATTCTCTGTCCCTGCTGCCCGAGGTCATGACCTGCCCAGTTCTGCTTCTCCTCTCATCTCATAGGTGACTCTGGCGAAGATGAGAGTGCACATTTCCTCCTGCCTGAAGGTCCAGGAGCAGATGGCCAACTGCCCCAAATTCGTCCCTGTGTTGCCCACATCTCAGCCCATCCCCAGGTAGGCAGCCTTCAGGATGGGGACCCAAGACGGGCAGAGTGAGGGTACTTCCTAGGCCAAGGACCCTATAGTCACTTCCCCTCTGTCATGGCCATATCCCATTAGTCCAGCATGTGGGGTAAATAGAGGACCAGGACTTTCTTTCCAAGGTGTATGGTCCTCCTTAGGACCAGACTGTCCACAGAGGGGAGGGCAGGTTTCGGGAGGAGTTGGGACAGGTGCTCTCAGCCCTAACCTCGCTCAGTGTCTTCCACCCCCAGCAATATCCCCAACCGGTCTACCTTTGCTTGTCCCTACTGTGGAGCCCGCAATCTGGATCAGCAGGAGCTGGTGAAGCACTGTGTGGAGAGCCATCGCAGTGACCCCAACCGTGTGGTGAGCATCGGCAGCACAGGGTTTCTGCCTGAGGGAGACACGGGGTCAGGCCTGGTCTGGGGATGAAGATACACAAGTGTGTACCTTAGATGCTGCTCTGCAGGCCTTGCTATGGTTGGATGGGTGGGCAAGCAGACAGGGGAGGCCCCCTCCCTGCTACCCCCAACTTCTGTGTTCTAGGTGTGCCCCATCTGCTCAGCAATGCCCTGGGGGGACCCTAGCTACAAAAGCGCCAACTTCCTGCAGCACCTGCTGCACCGGCACAAGTTCTCCTATGACACCTTCGTGGTAGGTACCCCGCCCAACTCCCTCAGGGTCGCCTGGGCTGTGACAGTGCCAAGACTCCGTTGCCACTGGAGGGCACCAGGCACCCAAACTTGTCATGAGACTAGCTGCTCTGGGTCCCTTGGTGCCCACTCTGGGCCATCTGAGGCAGTACCTTGGTATTGTACCAGCTTCAGAGACAGAGTCCCTGGTACACTCACCTCAAGGTGATAATGAAGAGAAGCTGCCTAATCCCGGCCCACCTGCCGCCCCTCACCCAGGCTTTTCCTTCTAGGCATCCCCCATGTATCCATCACCTCCTGCATCTTCCAGCCAGCCAGAGTTTTCTTTCTTCTGGTCCCCAGGGCTGGAGATCTTGTTGCCCCTGACTGAACTTTGATCTTAGAAACTCCAGTTCTTGGCCAGGAAAATGGGTCAGTGGATAAAGGCTCCTTCTGCCAAGACTGACAACTTGTGCTCAATCCCTGGAATCCCTAAGTTAGAAAATCCTCTAACTCCCATCCCCACATATGTCATACACGTCTGTACACACACACTAAATAAGCTGGACAAAGAAGCTGTTCCCGTCTGAAGGGAAACCAGCTCATTCATGTCTCAAATCTGCAGATTACTGACCTGCAACATGATCCCGAGAGAATTTTGGGAAGCTGCTGGGAAGAACTGGGGAGCTAGATAGGGCTCTAGCACCCTGAGGTATTTTTTTGAAGGGAGACTTGAGATCACAGAATGGTGTTTGGGTGGATTAGCATGGAAGGGGTCTGGCTGTTGGGAGCCATCCTGGTCCTCCCAGCACTCCCAAAACTTACCTGTACTTGTTTCTAGGACTACAGCATTGACGAAGAAGCCGCCTTCCAGGCTGCCCTGGCTCTGTCCCTCTCTGAGAATTGAGGCACACACAGCCTGGCCACCTGCCTCAAGTCAGGGCCCGAAGACACAATCCCACATCACGGGATAGGGCGGTTGCCCTCCTGCCCTGGCACCTGCACAGGAGTGCGCCACCGGGCTAAGTGGAATTTCACACAAGGAGAGCTGGTCTCAGAGCCCCCAGGGCCAGGGTGCTGGCTAGCTGGCCCCTTGCCATCAAGCAGGGCCACTGGGTCCCGGCCAGCAGCACTGGGTCATCGGTGCTTCAAGAGGCAGGTGCTGGCCATTGGGTTAGAGCAGTTGGCTGCTTTTCCCAGCCGTGCTATCCTCGTGTGGAGAAGGATGAGGTGCCCTAAGCTGTGCCCAGCAGGACCAGGGGAGGAGGCGCCTAGCCAGGCTGCCAGCCCACCCGGTCCCCAGCTTCGCTTCCACCGTAAGCATTTGGTACTGGCTTTTGTGATATTTAGGAACCCTGCGTTTTTCTATCTTATCCTGTGTGATAATCTTTTCACGTTTTATAGAGCAAATCAAAGCAGTTCCTCTTCATACCGCAATACCTGTGTTTGACTAGGAAGAACAGTATTTTTATGGAGCATTTACAAAGCTATATTTTTTAAAAAAAATAGTCAAAAATAAACACTTGTGTGGGATCAGTGCAAAGTGGGAAGGAGAGTGGGCATAGCCAAGGCTTCATCTGTGTGAGACAGAGGTGGGGTCCCCAAGCCACTTGCTCTTTGAGGAAGAGGCTCTTGTTTGTGGTTTTCTTTATGATAATGACCCAGACGAAATCCTAGTACCCCTGACCACTTGCTGTGGCTGCTCCAGCAGTTGTAGGACAGTCGAGGCAGAAGTGGGTCCCTCTCCTGCCCCAGGAATTGTCCATGGCTCCCTGTCACCTTCCAGAGCCAACCACATCCCTCCTCATGCAGGGACTGCCCTTAGCAATGGTAGGGCCCTCAGAGGCTGGAGAGGCCTGCTCGGTGGCAGGTCAGGGTCAAGCCCTCAGAGGCTGGAGAGGCCTGCTCAGTGGCAGGTCAGGATCAAGCCCTCAGAGGCCGGAGAGGCCTGCTCGGTGGCAGGTCAGGCCCGGAACCATTTGTCAGCATCTTGTTCTGTTCATGGCATACATCCTGCCTTTTCAGAGGAGTTTAAATAAAATGTTTGAAAGCATCCACGGCAGCCCTGGTACTGGGTTTGACTGTCAGTGTCAGCTAGGGGCTGCCAGGGTCCACAGCCCTTCCTCGCCTGATGGTGCTTTTTCTCTGGTAGTTGTACCACTATGTGCCCTTGGTCACCTTACCTTTTTCCTGGCCTCTGGGTGGCCTACAGAGTGGTGGAGGCATCAGCACCAGTTCCTTCTCTCAGAGACTCCGTTTCTTACTGTTCTGGGGCTGGATCCTGGATCGTGTGAGGTAGGCCAGCTGTTGTGACTGTTCAGGGGCCACCTCCAGGGCACAGGGTGCCCTGCTGTCATCTAGCTCACCAAGGGTTTCTAATAGCTGAGGAGAGCTGGGAACGGAGGTTCATTCAGGGAGTACCCAGCACTCAAGAGGCCGCGGCAGGATTGCTGTGAGTTCAAGGCCAGCCTGTGCTACTTGGAAAGCAGCAGGAAGTCAGTAAGGACTACAAATAAGACCTTGTCTCAAAGCAGCAATAAACAAAAGCTGAGGAGTTGGGACAGCCAGCTTCAGCACGGCAGAGGCAGATGGGGCCGCCGTAGGCTGCTGCCTGCCTTACTGTCCTACTTCGTCCTGAGGTGGCACCCAGTGGCAGGTCTCTGTCATAACAATTCACACTTTAGTGGACGCGGGCAGGCAAGTCAGAAGCTTCCACTCACAGGCCGTAACTTAAGAGGGACTGGTTGCTGGACAACTGTAAGCCCTATAAGAAGCAAAATCACCTTCAGACTTCTATCTGGGAGGTTCCCATGGCTGGGGACCCTTGCAGACAGTGTCAGGTTCTGGGGTCAGTAGTGCTGCAGTAAGGCTGGCCTCTCCATTGGTTTCCAGAAGTGGGCCATCTCTGAGCTGTCAACTACATCTGAGCAAGGCTGGTCTGTGTTCATCCCCTGGCTGCCACCTAAGCCTACCCCTTCTTGGGCAGGCACTCATTGTCCAACAGGAGCTGAAGTGCTCTCACAGGCCCAGGCCTGTGCTGTGACCGACCACAGTGACACAGAGAGTCATCATAGGTCATGATCTCTGGGTGCCCAGGAAACCCTGGAGGCAGCTGCAGGCCAGTTACAGCAGCTGCGCTTGAGATGCTCCTGACTTCTGTGCTGCCCCTCTGGAGCAAGTGCAGCCTCTGAGGCTCCTCGAAACTGCAGAGCCTGCACACTTGTGGCAGTTGGAGAACAAGGAGGAATGGCCAGTGGTAAAGCCATTCGTCTACAATCTCTCAGGCTGTGCTCTGATTCCTGGACAGTGCAGGCAGTAGGTCTTGGGGCTCAGTAGCCCCTGTACACTGGCATCTGGTCCCATCCCTCAGGAGGCCTGGGGGGAGGAGCCAAGGAAAGAAAGGGGCAGGAAGGGATCCCTGTCTTGTGTCCCATGTGACTAGCTACCTTTTGAGTTCATGGTTCCCACTGAGTTTGAGGCCAGCGAGTTCCAGGACAGCCAGAGGTGTTACACAGAGAAACCTTGTCTCCGAAAACCAACAACAAAAACCTAGCTGGGCAGTGGTGGCACACGCCTTTAATCTTAGGAGGCAGAGGCCAGCCTGGTCTATAAGATCAAGTTCCAGGACAGCTAGGACTGTTAACACAGAGAAACCCTGTCTTGAAAAACCAAACCCAGAAAAACCTAACCTACTCCAGGCAGAGCCGTCCCCCTGAGCAGAGTGAACAGAACAACAGAAGTCGGAGCTGCCTATGAGTCCCCAAATATGTCCCCTATTTCCAGAACATTCCACCCCGTGGTGAGCGCTTTATCCCTTGCCCCCTCTCTGGGCTTGTAGAACTCCTGATTCAATTCTTTTTTTTTTTTTTTTTTTTTTTTTTGTTTTTCGAGACAGGGTTTCTCTGTAGCTTTGGAGCCTGTCCTGGAACTAGCTCTTGTAGACCAGGCTGGCCTAGAACTCCCAGAGATCTGCCTGCCTCTGCCTCCCAAGTGCTGGGATTAAAGGCGTGCGCCACTACTGCCTGGCTCAATTCTTTCTTTGATCGGGTTGTGGAAGCCCTGAGTTGGCCGCCCTTCAGAGCTGCAGGATGGGGTGTGACATCTGTGCCCAGAAGGGCCTACACCCTTCTCAGCCCTGTGTCTGGGCTTTGGGGGTAGTCGCCCCCTTAGCAAAGCCGTGAAACAGCATCCTCCAGAAGGTACTACCTCAGTCTTGTTCCCCGGTTGGCCTTGGCACCTTCAGGTGACTCCCCGTCTAGAAGTCTATTGAGGGACATCAGAGTAAGCCCTGATGGGGGTAGGAAACCCAGACAAGGTAGATGTCAGCAGACCCATACCCAGGTGAGGTAGTTTTAGATTCAGAAAGCAGCCAACTATTACCTTGTATTTTCGGGGGGAGGGTTCTCTTTGGAAACAAGTAGCTAGAATCTGTAATACTAGTGGGGTGCCCCTTAGGACAGAGGGGCCATGACCCTTCCTGAGAGTAGCACACAAACCTATTGCCATGTAGTCAGTCTGACAGAGACAGAGTAGTCTCCCCAGGCTGTGAGCAAATCACAGTGTCTGCAGTCAGGTAGCCCCTGCCCTTAGATGTGGCTCACCTCTAGCCTGAAGTTTAGCAAGCTACAATCATTTCCCACCTTGGACTATTCTATGAATAGTAGGAAGCTACCTGGGTCTGTCTGTCTCTCTCTCTCTCTGTCTCTCTCTCTCTGAATAGTAGGAAGCTACCTGGGTCTCTCCCCGCCCCCTCACACACACACACACACACACACACACACACACTCAACCATCCTCCCCCAGCCTATGTTGCTGTGCCCTGCGGCATCTAGGGTGTCAGAAGCCTGGGCTGGCAGCAACATGCCCTTAGTTTCACGTTATGCAACAGCACCAGAAGCTGCCCCCTGCTTCCTAGAAAGCATCCTGATCACAGGTTCCTGGACCTTAGGAAAGGAAAACTCAGCGTGGGGCTCCCCAGCCTCAGACCTCCGAGGAACTATCAGTGATCTCCACATCTGTGTCTCAGGAGATCTGCGTGCTGCCCCACTGCACCCGAGTAAACACAGCCCTGTGTGCCCCAGAACCTCACTTCTGAACCAGCCTGCCAGTGCCCAGCTGCACTTCACCCATTCACCAGTCCAGCTGGCTGCAGGTGTCTTGCCTTCCCGTGAGTCTCCAAGCACATTTCTATGGTGTGCTTGGCGCTCGCCTACTTAGTGTAGGAACAGCCCGGTTTGAGCTCCTGGGGTCTTGGAGAAACAGTCAGAAACTACTGTTACCATGGAATGAAAGGATTTTGGAAGGAGATCCTGCCCCAAGCTTGCCGTGGAAAGGATAGAGTGGAGTTCCTGCTTCCTACTCAGCTTGCCTGAAGCCCAGGCATTGCAGAGGCCCCTGATCCTCAGCTGAGGCTGTCATACCAGGAGGGGGTTGAGAAAGAACCCTTATATGCGACACCTGGGCAAGCCAGGCCTGGTTGAGGGATAGTATCACAGTCTGTCACTGAGTTGCCCTCCTCTTGAGCCCTCCCCTGCAAGATGTTACTCCGTGCCCTCTTTCTGAACAGTCAAAACCCCAGAAAAAAAAAAAGCTTCATCCACACATGGTAGGTGTCAAGACCTAGTATGGTTCAAGGACTCTCTATGAAGGCCAAAGAATGTCTCCCCCTGGGATCTCCTGGTAGTACGTGGGAAGGCCGAGCAAACTCCCACCCTACAATCTGAGCTTTTCCTCGGGGAAGTGCCGGGAGAAGATGGGCCAGTGGGGCCGTTTGCAGACCACATCCCCCTTGTACAATCGATCAGTTCTGAGCTCCAGAAAGCCTGGGAGATCCTAGGGGAGACTGTGTACTGGGAGGATGGGACACTGGCAGATCCTAGGGGAGACTGTACTGGGAGGACGGGACACTGGCACCAGGGAGTGGTGACAGCCCGGCGCCCCCCACAAGCTCTCAGCAGTGCAGTGGAGCTGTGGGGTGCTCGCCACGAACCTGCCGTGTTTCTGCAGGGCAGAGCCAGCCTGCTACACCCTCTTCAGGTGCCGTCTGTGCAAGTAGCATGGAATGCTGGAGTTCCGCAAAGCGGGTCTCTGTGCGAACACCAGGCCAGGCATTCCACGTGGAGGTGTGTCAGAGCTGTGAGGGAAGGTGACAGGGGCTCCTTGGTTGCCGACCGCTCAGGACTTAGGCTTCTCTCCTCACTCTCCCGCCAACCCTGTACAACCCCTGTCCTCACAACAGGCGGCTCCCTACCCAGTACACACTTAAGTCTAATTGTCCTCTTTTTAGGATGCTAACCGTTGGGTTAGAACCCATCCTAATGACCTCCTCTTGAACCAGCAACATCTGCAAAGACAGCGTTAATCAATCACAGTTGTATCCCATTGAATTGACACAATCCAACCCGCGACACCATCTACGAGCCCAGTCAATACATCAGGGACCAAGGCAGAGGCAAACCACGACTTCTCTGTCAGTGAGAACCCTCAGTGAGGTAGCATTTGTTGTCACTCTTTTTTTTTTTTTTTTTTTTTTTTGTTTTTCGAGACAGGGTTTCTCTGCGGCTTTGGAGCCTGTCCTGGAACTAGCTCTGTAGACCAGGCTGGTCTCGAACTCACAGAGATCCGCCTGCCTCTGCCTCCCGAGTGCTGGGATTAAAGGCGTGCACCACCATCGCCCGGCTCTGGTTGTCACTCTGATAAGGGGATGAATGTCTGCCTTACTGTTGCCAGGGCTGCTGGTTTTCCCGTGGCCTGCTCCATGCTTGCCTCTTGGGGTTGCTGGGAGCCTACAGGGCCTACAGAGCATGGCTAAAGCCTGTGCGTTGGTTCCCAAACCTGGATTTCTGCTAAAGGAGGTGAGTGACCAGACAGTGTAGGCAGCAGATAAGGCCCAGGTATTTACACAGCCTGTTTCTTTTAAGAGGCTTGTGCTGCCTGAGGCAAGCCTCTCCCCCATTAGGAGGCTTCTCACTGCAAGGGGCTTAGAATTTTAAACCCTAGTCTTGGAGACAACCACTCCCTCCTAGGGCTGCATGGCGCCCTGTGGTTGTAAAGGTGAGTCAG